GGCATTTTCTTTAATTTTTTTTAATCCTACTGCTGCCGTTGCCACTAAAACCGTGCAATATTCTTAGTTAGACACGTTTTACTCAACCAAAATGCGAGGACTTTATTTTGAACGAATCATGTCGTTTGCGGAAAACCAAGCATATTACTTGGTTTTGCCATAATATTTGCAATAATATTGGTAAGCCCAAGCAATATGATATAATATGCCGCGGGGTGCGGAGTAAAACACAGTATACAATATATGCTGGGTTTATATTATGCATGCTTTACATTTTGCTGTGGGATAATTACCGTACAAAATCCAAGTAAACTTCCGGCAGCAATAGGGTAATTTATAAAAAGAATCGTATATTTAACCCCTCCGTTACCAACGTCGTAACTTACGACTTCATGGAGGGCACAAGTCATAAGTTACGACGTTACTGGGATCCCTAGATAGAAAAGGGCTCGAACAAAGTGGACACGATACTTTGATCAAGTCATTTTTTGCTGCCAAAAAATACAAGCTAGAAGAGGTAAAAAAAGAAAAGTCAAAGAAAGGGTGGGGGAAGGGTAGATGTGCTGCAGTAATCTGGTCAGTCCGGACACTTGGATGAGTGGTCGAGGCTGCCGACTCGAAGCAGCGGTGTCTTATATCAGAATTTGCCACAATGGCAAGAGTACGATCCAGTACGAGAGCCAGCTCAAGACACGCTTGGGGTTCGAGCGGTCGACTTCAAGCATCTGTGCGGCAGCTCCGTGGAGTGGGGTGGACATCGAAGAGGCCGTCAGGCTCCGGAATCGTGAAGGAGTGGACGTATACGTCACCGACCGGGATCTCGCTTGTCGGTACGCAGCGTATGAACGAAGCACAATACAGGTATCTAAATAAATTGTTATTGTAGACTGAGATGCAGTAGTGACGTTTGCGATGGCGTCGGGGCTTCTTGGAGAAGAGAGTAGCGAGAGTGGGGGGATGCGAGTGTCGATGAGGGCTTGCCAGCGAGCGATTCGGTGACGGAGTCGCAGATCGACACGTCCATTGCGCTATCAGCCAACACAATACAAGCGATGCTCGGATCGGATAGCAGCTCCCAGTCGGATCGTCTGGACCAGGCAGATCTCGAGCTGGTCGTCGGTGCCTTTCAGTGCCTCTTGTCGGGCGCTAAGTCGAACGACTCTGATAATGGTAACGCGAGCGACGGTGCCAGTGTGGATGATTATGCGAGTGTGGAGGACGCTCCGGATGACCGCGTTGCCGTAGCGGATGACGACGTGAACATCAAGGCGGAAGAAGAAGTGTCGGACGCCTATGAGGCCATCGATTCGAGCGGTAGTGACAACAGCGATAATAGTGGAGATGAGGTCATTGAGCGGCGCGAACATCTCGACGAATCACTGGAACCTGACGAAGATGTCGGCCTAATGGACGATGCCTTTGTGAAGGCGATGGGTGGAAAGCTTACCCTGGAAGATATCGACAAGAACGCGCTTCGGCAATTCTCGTGGCGTGCACACTCGTCCGAGCTCGAACGTGATCGTGAAGCATATGCGCATCTGTCTACTGATGTTGCTACCCCTACGCCAGAGATCCAAGCCATCGCAGACTCGCCGATCCTGCTATTTTTCTATTAGCTGCCGAAGTCACTGTGGGTTAGTATTACGAAGGAGACCAAACGCTACAAGCGACACACTGCACACGCCAGAGTAAAGCGAATTCGAACAAAACAACGAAAGCGTCATGCTGCGACGCCAGCGACTATCAAGCAGATTGAAAGGCGTCTTCGTGCCGAGCCTGCGTACCAAACACATGCGATCTTACATCTAATGGGGCTTTTAGTGGCAAGAATGCTGAACCCGATGACGCGGCGTTTCTCACGACATTGGGCGATGGCCGATGATGACGCCCTATCAGCCGGTAGCTGTGGCAAGTTTATGGCACGCAACCGGTGCACTTCGATCTTCGCGACTTTCACGTCGTGAATAATGAGGCCCCGCGCGTTCGCGATAAGATGTGGGAGTTGAGGCCGGTTGTGAACGTGTTGCAGTCTCGTTTTTGCTCGGGTTGGACACTTGGTAGCACGTTCTCCTTTGATGAAGGCGTTCTACCGTCGACATCGAAGCGAAACACAACACGGATGTTCATGCCCGACAAGCCTTACCGCTACGGAGCAAAAATTTTCATGGTGTGCGATTCCAAGAGTGCGTACTGTCATCGGTGAGTTTTTTTATGCCGTAACTTTTGGCATTAATTTCTTATTTGATTTGTTCTATGTCGTAACTTGCGACTACAGCTTTGAGGGCTACGTCGGAAAGAGAGATACCGAAGATATGGACCAACACGAGGTCGACAACAAGACGGGGGCAGCAGCAGTGAAACGAAACATGAAGGCTGTTCTGAGCGGAGCATCTCTGGGATTTCAATTAGCTGTAACCGACCGGTTCTATTTCTCGATACCGCTGGCCATGCAACTTCTATCGATGTCGGTCTACGTGCTAGGGGCGGTCATGATTAACCGACTGGGGTTTGATAAGCAAGTCATTGAGAAACGCAAAACAAGACCGCGTGCTATAGAACGGGGATCCTTCGCGTTCTCGCGGTCAGATGCTATTCCGACCATGATTGCCTGTCATTGGTGGGACAGGAAACCGGTACACTACCTAGCAACGGGCTCGATCATGGTAGGAGACTCAATCCATAGAAATATCAAGATGGTAGGACCGTCAAGATTTAAGTGCCCGAAGCTCGTTTCCGACTATCAACGCTGGATGGGCGGAGTTGATGTCCATGATCAACTCCGCACATCCAGTCGTATTCGATTCAGACAGCGTTCCGATTCCGAAATACTACAAATCACTGTTTATTGGTTTGGTAGACATGACACTGGTGAATGCATACCTCACACAGAAGGAAACGTATCGGCTCAAGCGACTCGTTCCTAAAGACCGTGGAGACTGGTATATCCTCTTGCACAAACAACTACTGCAGCTCACGGCAGACAGCTTTGTCGACGCCTCTGCTCCTACTCCTTCTCCTATGGCGCGCTCCAGAAAGCGCCGCCGACTTGATGGTCACGCGCATGTGCAGTTTGACGACTGGGTCATCGTATCAGGCGTCCGGAAACGCCGTCAACGTTCCTGTAAAGCTTACGCTCTTTCTCCGCGGCGAACGAAAGAAGTCATTTAAGACCACTTACCACTGTGAAGACTCAGCCTGGTGCGAAGAGCTTCCTGTGCCCCAAGTCGCGGCATTGTTACGGGGGTGTACGAAAGACATGCTACCAAATTTGGCATGAAGCTTTCGAGAGTGGCATCTCCATTCCACCATCCCTCAGAAAACGCGTCGTCTTGCGGCGCTCAGCCAAGGTGGGTGCACGTAAGCCCACGCGACAAGAGCTGATTTATCAAGATGGCGACGCGGATAATGAGGCGGAAGAGCTTGTCGACCAGAATGTTCTACAGTCAGAAATCGTATAAATGGATTAGGTAGCACTGCATTTACTTGATCTTTGTACAATTTTAGATGCGCCCGGATCTGTATGGATTAGCAAGGATGGATCTGGGGCTAACAAAAAAATGTGCGTTGCAGTCTGGAAGTCGTAAGCTTTGGCTTTCTGAATTACGATTTGATCGTAACACTTACGACTTAGATTTCAAAAACATTTGGGAGTTAGTAGCGGAAATCGAGGAGATATTGACGTGGACAAAACACGCACATACAAATAGTAATATAAAAACAAAGTCGTAAGTTACGACTTATATTAGGCGGTTCCAGCTCGGATTTTCTGGTAACGGAGGGGTTAAAAAAAATTAATTACTTTTTTAAGAGCTTCATACGAGTCTGAAAGCTGGACAACAGAGGAATACATCTTACCGTCGTAGAGCTGAATGTGTGTCGAGAGCTGCGTCTTTGTCAGTTGGGTTGGTAAGATCTCTTTCGACAGCTAGAAGCATCAGGCTCGATAGCCATTGGTCGCCGATGATAGATCAAAGTCGCATTTTATTCTCTTCATGGCTGAAAAGGAGGGCTTGGTACTTGCGGTGGGAACAGGAAGTACGCAGACTAAGCAAATAAACCGGTATAATACTGGCTTAGTACACAGCTCTTCCGTAATCTTCAAGTTCTGCAATGTTTTGTCGGTCTTGGTTAGCTCGTAGAAGCGCGTAGCTTCCTCTCTCAAGTCTTCTAATTATGCTTTGCCATCGCCGTGATAAAACGTTGTAGCCAATAGAACGACATTTTCGACATTACAGCTCGAAAACTTTCGCCTTGGGGACAGAGAACCACTTAATTTCAATAAACTCAAAGCTTCGTCATTGAAGCAAGATTCCAATTCAGAGAAAATATCTTTAACGACAGCCACAAAACACCGTTCTGGTAGTGATATTCTTGCGTAGGGAAATTCGAGCCGCGGCAGGTATCTGCACCTGAAATACCTGGTCGTCCACGACCCCGACTTCTAATTCCTCTCCTTTCCCACAATAATGTGCTTTTTGGGATAATAGGAAGATCTTTCACTTGAAACTTCTTTCAAAAACTAACTGCCGAATTCCACACAGCCTCAGTACGGTCGGGCTCTGTACTCGTATTGTTCTTGTCACGCACATTTTACAGCTCTTTACGCAATAATTTAACCATGTTAACAGCCGATACGATATCAACGTTGTCTTTCTGCAAATACTAAGACAGGCTGTTCGTTTTATTCAATATTGCGATCAGTACTTTAACATGAAAATGACATTAACCCTTTCGCGGTCAAGGGGGCAAAATGCCCTCTCTGACAAATTTATCATTACGGGGTGTGAAAACGGCGTGCCAAACAGGGCATTCTGCCCCATTTCGTATATTTTGACCAATCATATTCACATTAGTGGCATTTAACTTGGCCAAAAAATTATAAATCAAGCGACGTTAAATATTTTTGTAAAAATTTCACATTCCTACAAAAGTAACGAGCAGCGTGGGGCGCACAAGTTTTGGCGCGAACGAGCATTGGTGCCAGTGCTTAGGGCGCACAGATGGGCTGTGCTGTGCGATGTTCGAGGGCTAACATGGTATCCTATACTGACATGGAGATCTGTTATGTTTTAGTAGTACGGGAGCGTCTTGGCGTCCTTAGGACGCACAGGTGAGCTGGTATGTGCGATGTGCCGGGCCCATAAGCTATCATGTACTGCCATGGGGATCTGTGTTATGATTTATTAGTGCGAGGGCGTCTTGGTGTCCTGAGGACGCGCAGGTGAGTTGTTCTGTGCGACGTGCCGAGCCCTAATAGTACTAATGCAGTGCTCTGTGTTGTGGCGTGGTTGTTTAGTAGTGCGAGAGCGTCTTGGTGTCCTTAGGACGCACAGGTGAGTTGCTTTGTGCGACGTGCCGAGCCCTAATAGTACTAATGCAGTGCTCTGTGTTGTGGCGTGGTTGTTTAGTAGTGCGAGAGCGTCTTGGTGTCCTTAGGACGCGCATGTGAGTTGTTTTGTGCGACGTGCCGGTATCTAATAGTACTAATGCAGTGCTCTGTGTTGTGGCGTGGTTTTTTGCACTTCGATAGATGAAGAGTGTGAGAACAAATGCAATACTCTCACCATTAGCACCAAGTGCCATACAAGCACCGTATCCTCGAGCGCCAAGCCAGTTTTTCCGTCAGCCCTTCTGTGCGATCACTTGTATGTAAGGGTGTTGGCGCTTAATTGTGCTTAGGTACGATATTTATATTGAGCACTAATTCTTGCAAGCAGTAATTGTATCCGAGGTGCCTTCGTGCTTCTAAGTGGTACGCATTTTGCTAATTTAGCTACTATACGGTTAAAATCTAGCGCTATGACGAAGTCGACCTGGATGAAATGCTACTTGCAGCCAAATTGCGTGACAGCTCGTTCAGTATTGATGCGGAAACACTTGTCGGCAACGCTTTGGTGAGCATTTTGTTACGATCTCGTGTTGATGCATGCTAAAATGCTCGTTTTGCTAGATTTTCATGCAAAGCCTGCCACGGTGCGGATAGGATGGACGAGACTGCTACCTTAAAAGAATTCGAGCGCGACTACATCAACTGTTGGCCATTTAAAATGAATCGTTATAAGTACATTGTATTAGGTTGACATCCAGATCGACTATTATTCGGTCTTCAACTGAGAGAGGTAGGAGTTGGGATTGGCAATTATTATTCAGGATAGTTCGTCACTGGATAGTGCTGATATATTTCTTACGATACCAATATTTGAGCAGACCGACTGGAATGTGAAGAAGGGCGACAACGCTACGCGCTTTAGCTACGTATGGCTGTACAAGCGGAAGAAGTTTTTCCGTACTAAAAGCGTCCTAAACGTCCTAACTTGTCCTAATACCTACTGTCATAAATTACGGTATTGGCACAAAACTTCGGCATGGGTTATAGGATCGTTAGGACAGTTAGGACAGTTAGGACAGTAAGGACAAATACGAAAGTTGTAAGGCTACACTACCCATGCCAACGAGAGATATCTTATGGCTTACAGAATGCAGAATGCTACTCAAACGCCATGTATTCCCCGGGGACTTCAACGTCCACAGACCGCGCATGAGCAGGAGCGCTCTGTCGACCATGCTTGATGTCGTCCAGCAGTTTTATGTAGGAATGTGCCTCTGCCTTTGCAGCTTCAATGAAGACGAGAATACTTGGATGTGGCGCACCAATGCGAGCAGCAAAATCGCGATTGTACTTCTCCAGCGGGTTATTAGTCCGATTTATCATGCTCACATTGTTGCGCCGCATCTGGCTCACGTTCCACAGCGACGTGTCGAACCTCTTTGTCCACGTTCGCACAAAATACTTCCAGAAAGCGTTCCATTTAGTCTTTGCTGCGGTCTCATCGATGATGCTTCGAACATACCGTAGTCCCTGCCAAAAAAAATTAATTTTATTTTAGTAATATTTTCCGTAAGTAAAATACAAAAATTACGTACCTTGTCCAGCACTTCTTCGGCAGGAATGACAGTAAGCACGTCCAATTTCCCGACTTCATGGCGTCTGCGATCTGTTCCTTGGGAATCTTCAGTTCTATCATCTTCCTACGTAGAGCCTGCTTCCAGTGGAAGAGGCAGCCAACAATGTTGGCTGCAGGGAACTGCTCAATCACAGCGTTAATGAGCGCAAGCTCAAAGTCACAGGTAACATCACGAGGCTCCAGCTGGCGGTCGGACGCCATGATGAGCTGCTCTAGTACTCGCCAATACGTTTCTTGGCTTTTCGAATTGACGAGTACGTAGAGTAGTGGCACGTATACGTCGACACTAGGATCGTAGACCATAGCAATCAGGCACTGCGAGAAACCTTTTGGTACCACCGAAAAGGTACCATCAATAAAAAGGGTCAGCTGAGGGTACCGTAGAATCCGCAGTAAGTCCGGATGCCCATACGCTGTATGCCGGCGGTGGTGGGGCGAGCCATGCTGAATTGTAGGAACGGGCGCGGGTCTGAGTCGCTAATGCTTCGCACCGGTGCAGCCTCAATTGCACGGAAAATGTCGCCACCGGTGGCACCTTGGCGTACGTTTTTGATGATCGTAACACCACTCGGACGCGCAATACCGTAGATAGTTGACGGGTAATGCTTGGTACGGAAACTATCAAAGACGCGCTGCCACAGAACACCAGGTGCAACAGCGAAGTCTTTAATGGCGCGATCTTGCAGCTCCAAAGACATGTCGTGGCGTACGTCTGCGACTTATTCTAAAATTTCTTGGTCGCAGTGGTGAATATTTTTTTCGATGATAGTGCCCCCCTTCTTGACTACAAGACGTGCTGGACACCCAGTCCGGAACTTCACGCAGCTGAAATAGGTTGTTCCTGTCTCCGGGACGGTGCGCTTCTTGCAGAAGCGGTAGTTCTTGTGCTCCATGGACAAAGCTGTTAAGTGACAATAAAAATTAATACAGCTATGTGTTTCTGCATGATTGGTTCCCATTAACTTTTAAAAACCTCAATCCCAAGTTCGACTCAAAATAGGTTTTAGGATATGTCCTAAATTTCCGACAAAAATACCGTTTTTAATTTTGGACAGTATTAGGATTGCAATGTTTTTCCGGATTTAGAACCTTTTTAGGATACATTTTGCAATCTATTCCAGTAATTTACGACGTATTTTAGGATTTTGTAGGACAGTTAGGACAGGATTAGTACAGAAAATTCGACACCTTATTATCAGCATGTGTTCAAACGCGTTTTGAATGCCATGAGCACGAGCGTAGCTATAGGTTCTGCAAATCCAGCGAGGCTTTTGGTATCCAGAAGGGCGAGCACGCGGGACCTTCTTGATTCTTAGGCTTTTGTGACCGATCCAAATACCGACTGAAGTAGACGTACAGTAGCTTGAAAGTCTAACACGGGGTAACTTGCCGTCCGAGACTTCTCGTAGTTAGTGGAGTGTGAACGAGCCATTGTCACTTTAAAAAAACATGGAGGAAAACGAGATAGGTCGTTGCCGTAAGCGCGCTTTAGTGTTCGAAGTCGAGTTTCTAGCGTCTTCGGGCTCTTGGAGACTCGCAAACGCCGTTGCATCTTTCGCGCAAGATCGGCCTACACGACGCGTCGGTTTTGCTGCGCATATTTCAAGGCGTACTGCATTAAGAGCTTATCGGCTTCGTTGGAGAAATCGGTGATCATGACTGCGTTTGGTAAGACCAAAGGGATAATGTGCCAATACATTATGCAAGTGTAAAATATCTATAGTTTAATCAAATTAATTACACTGGTCAACTGAAACAATCATTTGGATGCATCATACAACAGACACATGCAGTTTTGCTTACTTTATTTAAGTTATTTACACGTTTATTGCCACTGTGCAGATGAAGGGAGCTACTGCTGACAGCGTTAGCATGTACGTTATTTCAAAGTGAGCTTAGAGTGAGCTTTGCATCTGGGTGCTAGCTTTGTTAGCTAATCCACACGCTACGCTGGGTATCAAAGGAGAAGTCATCATGACAGGGATTCTACGCGTATATGACGCCACCGACGACTCTAAGACTATAGCGCTTATCGGTACGGAAGTGGTTTAAGCAGATCGTGGAAATGATTCAAGTGTCGATGCATATTACTGTGAAAGAGATCTTCGGCAGTTAAGTTCTCAGTAACTCGACAGATCTATAGTACTCGGTATCTATCTTTATGTACGTCTGGCAACTCGCGTTTGATTGGCAAGAGATTGACTGAGTGTAGTAGAATATTCAACTACTATCTTTGACATTTTGTGAAATCATCACAGTCACGAACACTGGAGAGACCGGATACAGAAATACAAATCAACATATAACTTAGGCAGCGTGTTCAACCCGCTAAAGAATAACTTGTCTGACTACCGATCGATTGTCATTACCGTAGATCTCACCCGCCTGATTTATACTTGCTTTTAGCTTGAATAGCTGAGACGTCTTGCGTAGCTTCCCCTTACTCGAAAACAAATTTTTGTGTGCGTAGTACTGATGGTATTTTTCCCAACACGTCCACGTGGCTTGGGGACACATGTATGGAGCGGGTAGTGAATCATAATATGCCTTGCAAAGGCACACACACCATGGATGACGCAGTAGTCCGTGACTTCAGTGGGATATCTTTCTTCCCATCTGCACACAATACACTGGCGACGCTTGCGGTTTTTTCCATCGTAAAACTGTTTTGATGCAGCTGCAGAGCACGTCTTCTTTGGACTCTCAAATGGAGTGCTAACAGTGTAAGCGGGACTAATTGGAGCCGGTACCTGTGATTCTAACGTAGCCATGTTGCGGCTTGAGTATAAAATCTTACCTTCGCTCGGTGCGTTGGACCACTTCCCGGAAATCAATTCAGAAGACAATTCCAGCATGAAAGAACGGTGAGGGTCCCGGGTATTTACTGGGGTATACACCATTCGGCGGGTAAGGTACGCGTTACATCGAGCAACATCAACTAAAGCCATAGCGAGCTTCTTGTGCCTTTTTTTTAAACGAGTGGCCGTCGGCAATAGAGAAGCGTGCACGGAGCTGGTCTAGCCGGTCAGCACCCTGCATGTGGGTGTTATAGTTCTTCACACAATCCGGTGCCTCGAATTGTTGATGCTCGTTGGACACGCGACGTTGGACAGTGTTTGACTCGGACGCATCCGCATTTGAGACTATGCTAACAATACTTTCGTCGCACCACGAAGCCCCAAGCATATTGTGGTCAATGGAAACCCCTTGGCGGTACTCCCCTCTTGTACAATCACCCTTTTCCAGCATAACGTGCTTAGGAAAATGCTTGCTTGAGCCCCGTACTGTACCACGACCAAATAGCCCTTTGAGCTTTAAAGCTTGCAGGAGCTGTGCTGACGTGTAATAATTGTCAGTATGTACAATCCATTTAGAATCGTAGATTGGTCGAACAACTTCAAGAACGTTCTGGCGGATTGCAGCTCCATGTGAAAGCTCTTCGCGGAGAGCTTCAGTCGGGGACATTTACCACGCCTTGCAAACGATCTTCGAGAATACTTTCGTAGTGTAGTCTGAAATTCACAGCGACCCATGACGTTGCGCAGCACATCATGTACAACTTGAAGTGGTACTTTCCACCGGGTTTACGTGGGTTGTAAACGATAAGGTGGCGTCTGAATCGACTTCTACAGACAACGCTCGCTTCATCCAAAGCAACATTACGACCAAGCTCAAAATAATTCCCGCCAGTAACTTTCATAACATTCAGCAATGTGCGAATGCGGGCAGCAGGGTCTCGCATTGTGTCCTCCACTGAGACACCACTTCGAAACGAAAACGATTGCCGAAGAAGCTTAAACCGCTGGAGCGGCATCACATGCTCCAAGTCAATACTAGTACCTCCAAATATGTCTTCTTCTGCCTGGCGACCCCAGTAATTCGCATTTTCCCCCTTAACTGTAACTTCCATATAGAACAGTATTCCCAAAAAGGTCATCAATTCTTGTAACTTGAACGGTTCGCCGATGAAAATCTGGTTGGCGCTTGCGTATGCATTGGTCTCGAAAGCAACTTGTTTCCAGAAGTAAAGAGGGAGATACGCAAAAAAGCTCGCTGAAGCCGAATGATTAAAAATGTATCGGTACTCATCCTTAAACTTGGTTTCGGTCGCTCCATCGTCGCATGTAAAGAGATCACCAGGTTGTGCCA